AAAATGCACTGGTACAGGGAATCCTAGCCCCTGTCAGAGAAGACTTGTGCCACTCCCGCTAACCACCTATGCAACTTCTAGGTGACTGCGCTAAATCTTAAGACTTGACACGTACAAGCGTCCGAGCTATTCACCAGCAAACTGATCTAGGAACCAGAGGTTCAAACGATGTAAAAGCGACGCGACAGTGCTTGAAAGTGGAGTTAGTCCCTCTCGTTCGCACGTTTGACTCTCACCTCTTTCCAGGGCTGGTACATAGTTCGAACTAATGATACATACTTCGATTTAAATTCGATTTGCGTCGTTTGAAGCGCTCTGTACCCCGCGATTCGCTAGCGAATCGCTGAATTCGCTAAGTCTGACACCTGCCTTTTGCGGCAATTTTGTAAACACTAATGCTGCGGTACTTCGTCGCGCGCGAAAGCCGCTAATGTGCACAACGCGCCGGGACAACCACTGCACAATTCATAAGACCGCATTATTATCCCTTCACAAGCGCCCGGATGGACTTCCAACACGATCACATATGAACACGGACTTTGGTTTATGTCGACGTATGCGAAGGGGATTCCTACGTTTACCCGACGCGTCGCGACGCGATAGCTGCAGGAATGCAGGTCAGGCGGGCGGCATTTTGATAGGTTTGTCGCGTGTGTTTCCCTAGAAAGGGCTCCATGTTGGTAGTTGATCCATCTGACTTCTGAACGACATGATAGGGGAAATATCCGGCATTGCTTCAAAAATAATACGGAAAACGAAACTCACTTCAATTTCATTGATTTTACTCTTCAGTGCTTTCGCTGCGACATCATGGTGAACATTTCCAGACTTTCTCAGATCTGCTATTAATCGACGTCCTGAAGTTATTTCCTATTAGTTAACAATGTCTATCTTTTAAATCGTTCAAGAGAATTTTTTTATGGGAAATATTTTTCAAAGATAGGTTCTGCGGATTGCCTCCCAGAAAAGTCGCAGTAAACGCGAATTTTCTGCCGAAACTCGTGTTTCCGAAGCCTCTTTCTTGTTCAGAAGAGTTGATAACTTGGCAAAGACTCGACTCTCATTTAACTCTCACTTGAAATTTTCGGTTACTCCATCAGATCAAATGGACCACCGTTGCACAATAGCCAGCAAAACACCCCCTTTTCTCGAAAAAAGCCCAAACCCAGAAAGGCAATTACCGTGGTTCTACCCTTTTGAAAAGAATGTTCTGCGATTAGGCCATTGGAGTGAAGTTCAGCCGACAAAGGGAGAGCTGTTCGCAAGCACATAGGATGTACCGATTTTCTTGCACGAAATTGCTAGGCACGAGCCCTGGGACTAAGCAGCTCACGGACTCTACCCACCACACGGGGTTCCGCCCCACCCAGATTGGACGTCGTAGACCCTCTCTACTCTCAATATCCGTGTCTTCCGTCTTCCACTCTTTCTTCTCTCCTCGGCGCGCAAGGGCGGAATTGGTGTAATGACAAGTGGCGCAACATTCACGCACTGAGACTAGGGATCAGATCCTAGATTGCGTGCCGTCGAAGGTTTCATCTCTCCAGAGTCGTTTAATTGGTACCGGGACTGTTCGGAAGGACAATACATCGTGAGCCATCGCGAATGGTCTGTCAAGATCCACTTCCACATACCATCGCCGATTTCCTGTAAGCGCGGAAGTCGAGTGCATGGAGCATTCCAAATATAACTCATCACACGCCAAACCTTTTTATTGGTTTTTGTCCTTTCCGTGCAACCAAGCTTTCGCTTATCCTCCGGTCCGCTTCATACAACCAGACAAAGAAGACCCTCATTCAAAGACGATTCTGGTGTTTTTTCTTGTTTTGCCCTCTAAATATCAGCTCGCACTTTACCTCTCTGTTTCAATTTTCGCCAGTGGAAACCATGAGGTATGCCATTTGCAAGGTCGCGAGGAATGCCTTTTGATAATCCGCCAAGCTTAATCAATCATAGGACCGCATCTTCTTTTTCAAAGCTCGCAATACGAGCCGTGAAAAGGCAACCATGAATCAGATAAGAAGTATTGCAAGATAGCGCAGCTGATGGACGAGCGTTTAAAATTAATAAGTCTCTCAAAAATCATTCGAAAATACGTGTAAAAATTAAAAAAGCATGTATTGTTCTAAAGAAGATTTTTTGAAAAATAAGGAGGTAGGGCAGTGTGTTCTCACCTGCAGCAATAATTGGATCATCGGGTGAGACCTGAAATCGCCCATTTGCTTGAATAACGTCTTGTGAAAGACTGTTCAGCTCAGCCATCATGGCCTCTATCCTCTAAAACAGACCAATTCCAACTGTGATAAACAATGAATCAATAATAAACACGAAACTTGTGAGAATTCACCTACCTCTCGTTCATCACACCATTTCTCCGCGTCGTAAGTGAATGTTCCACCAAAGATTTCCGGTAGTTGTGAGATGTCAATATATTTGGATAATTTATGCAGAGATACAAGAAGTGTCTGAAATCAATAAAATTGATTGTTAACGTGGAATTTCCAGAGCTAACGAGAGAAATGTGTTTCTTGTCAAATTATGCAATAATATTGTAGACCAGTTGGCGCCGCACGCATTGCGCGCGCAACACAGATCTGCGGCGAATTTTGATGGTGCGACGAAAATTTTCAAATTTGGCTTGATACACATCGACGACTTTCGTCCTCTTTTTCTTCGTCAACCATTATCCTCTTTTTTCTGGTCTCCGGACTGCTTCCATCTTTTTCCTGGTCTCCGGTCTCCGGACTGCTTCCGGACAATAAATCTCGTGGCAAACTCCGCCTACTTCGGTGCGTGCCCCGCCCACCAATAGCATTTGGCCCCTTCCTTTCGCCGACCTCTACCCCTTTTTCCACCGGTCTCTGGGACCTCTTGGAACCAAATTACGACACTTTTGGCAAACTCCGCCCACTTAGGTGCGTGCTCTACCCACTAATAGCATTTGACCTCCTTTCCTTCGCCGACCTCTACTCCCTCCTGGACTTCTTGGAGCCGAGTTATGAATTTTCGTCGCAAACTCCGCCCACTTTGGTCAAGCCCCGCCCACCGATGACAGCTGGCCTCCACTCCTCCACCACCTCTATCCACCTTTTTCCGGCTCTTAAGACTTCCCCGGCCCGAATTATGAGGACTTGTAGAAAATGCTGTACACTTCAGAGCGCGCCCCGCCCATTCTGGGCCCTCCGCCCACGTCATGTATGCAGGGAAACACCTTAGACATTGCTCCCTTACACCAATTTGTTTTCTGCTCTGTAGGCTTTCTCCCAACCGAGTTATGAAATTTTTCATAAAGCACTGCGCAGTAAGTAAGATAATTCGTACTCGGCAGAATTTATCGAAGGGACTTCTTCGAACTCGGAAGAAATTCCGGTTTCCGTTTATGATTTTCTGTGAGAAAGCAGCTGATGTTATCATTCAAACCACTGTGGAATGGACTGGTAGCATGATCCAGCTACAACTCTTCCTGATTAGTCTTGCACGATACAAAGGGTCATTTTAAAGGCAGCAATTGCAATAGCTTGATGGCGACCAAATATAAAAATAAAGGTGCGAAATGGTGCAGCAGCAAAGGGAAGAATCTGAATAAAGCTAAGAAAACCGGGACTTTCACACTGCTACCTGACTTGGAACGAGTTCACAGCTCAACCGTGAAAACGTCTCGGATCAGGTAGCGGTGTGAGAGTCACAGAGTTATGGTTTTTTGCTGGAGGTTCGGGTAAGTGTGTCCCGATGGAATATAGGAAAGATGACATTGCAAAATACGCGGGCTGGCTTCAAGGGAGCTCAAATCAGGGCAAGCCCTACGTTGGGACAAGTACCAACGGGGGTCGTACTTTGTTGAGTTTGTGGTGGTGGGGGTCGTACTTGTTTCGGTAGCACGAAATTACTCCCCCCTCCTGCTCGACGGTGTTTTTCGAGGGAAAAAGAAGTCGAGGAGATGGGGTCGTTCGAAATCTCTCATGAAGGAGGGAGGTCGTAAAAAATTTTCAAAAAGTCCCAACGGCAGGCTTGACCCTGCCTCAAATGTGTTGCATCCTGCCAACTTGCGCCCCAGAAAATCACACCGCTCTTTCTTCGTCGCATTTCTACGAGGTAAGCAAACCAGCCCTTTTGGCGTTTCGGCTGGGACCGTATGCTGAATGTTGGGGAGGGGATGGGGACCCCAACGGTCGACGGTTTACTTCAACTCGGTTGGTACGATAGGAGAGTACTGACGCAAGTGGTGCAGCTGGTCCAGCAGCTCCGCAAAAGGGCTGGTTCTTACTTCGCTTTTCTACCACTTACACTGGCTAATATACTTCCGTGGTGCAGACCCATTCTAATCCACTTACTGCCTCTAAAGGCAGGGTTTACGACTAGATGGCAGCCCATCAGAATCAAATTAGAGGTGGTCAGTGGTGCGGGATGAAGAAAAAACCATGAAATGGCCCAGAACCCGAGAAATGGGACCCCTTCCTTGCCCGTTGATTTCCGCATTGATGCGACTCTCATCGGTGCTGCCCTCTTCAACGCTAATCTCTCCCTAAACGGCTAGAGACCTGCGGCGAGTGGTTAGCCAGTCGGTGGGCGTGCCGTGACGCTAGCGCGCTGGGACGGCCATGCTAGATCCTCAGGGCTATTTTTCGCTGTGGATTGCGGGACAGTCACGTCAGCGCCCGCGTCTTCCTTCCTAGTCCCCCCTTCTACTTTAGTCGTTACCGTGAGAATCCCCCATTTTGGTTTTGGTGTGAGCGTGAAATTTGCAGCAAACTCAGGTAGTGATATTTCAATAACTTCAGCTCCTCTTACCCGAAATTCATATCCTTCCATGATGAGATCGAAATTGATTTTTTGCTGGTGAAAGAATTTATCCGGTTGAACGATGATCGCCATACGTATTCGGTGATAAAATGCTTGCTAAACAGACAAGCTTTTTTCCCAGAGTGGTTCAAATGAACAGCAAAACCAACCTGGCAAGCTCTCAACACATTTTTCAGCGCTTTCGGTGACATTTTTCGACCATCTATGAGAATACACACGCCCTTTTCGGCGGAGTAATCGCTAATAATCTCGGAAAAGTAGCCGAGCACCGATACAAGATTTTCATATTGGAATAGAACACCACCCAAATCGGACCGTGACGTTCCTGTAAAAGGGCTCGGTAGCGAAATGTAGGAAATTATGTTCATTCAAGTGTAAATGTACTTAAATACAAATGTAATACCATCTAATTATTCCCCACACCAAGCTGCTTGGGCATCGATTCTTATGGTGCGGTATTAGAGGTACTAAGTTTATGAGCAGGTCGATCAACCCTTATCCTGTTCATTTACCATTGGATCGAGAACATCAGAGGAACCAAGAAGTAAAACAAAACTTTGGAAGGTGCCGATCAATTTGCTCACATTCCCAAAAACTCCAAAAATTTGAAAAAATATGGAAAAAATTGAATGTTGAGCTACTTTCTTCGCTTTCACATGAATCAAGAGCAATCTTTCAGTCACAGATGATTTTAACCCGTTAGTGGTTATTAAAATAGCACCCCCAGATCGAATTTGTGGGTCACAGCGGTTGATAATGAAGATCTGGATGCCGTATTGACTAAAACTGAAAAAAAAAAAGGCAAGGGAAACAGTCGAGGAAACTCAAAACTAAACTTCCCCCTGAAAAATTAAGGGATGGGGCCAGACAAGTGGTAGGAACTTGCCTGCACCACGGCTCAACTAATCCGCGCGCATTTGAATTACCCGCTACGAAGTAATCCACGTGGTGTGTCATCGGGGTGCCGCGACGTAACTCGTCCAAATGCTAAGATTAGTCGCCAAATGCCAACTATTGTAAGACTATAGCGTCATTGTCGCAAATGAGTCGCGACAACGGCACATCTTGCTACTCGGGAGCTACTCCATCCCACCCGCTGGAATGAATTCTTCGACACGATTGTTATTGAGGTGCTGCTTTAATCTGCTTCCCACTGTGACCCGTGATGGGAACTTTGGTTCTCGCCGAGACCGAACTAATTTGGCTCATGAACGGCTATACTTGGGCAACCTCCACGATGTCAGCGGCTCTGGAAAATCAAGAACCTGAGGAGTCCAATGTAGTAGCCTTCTGAAACTTTTGGCTACTAAACAATAGAAACCTTTGACTTCTCTCACAAACAAAATTACTGGAATTGTTCTATTCTTTTGTCAGCGAAAAAGATTCTTGGAAAAACGATTCCAAGAAAAGATGTCAAACCTCCATAAATCATGATAAAACTCTTACTATGGGCGGTACTTGGAGCATCAGCAACCGTCGTCGGTGTAATTGCTACAATGGCACTTCCTGAGCGATCCACTGATCCTAGAACAATGCAAATATAAAAATTTGTATAACAATGCAAAATATGAAGGACTGGACGTTAAACATTTTTCTAGGGATACGTCACCCATTCTATCATTATTCAGAAATGTCACGGCATTTTGAATGTGACTTGGTCTCTAGAACGGCACGGTTCAAGGAATGGCTTGCGGGAGCCAGTCATTGTCAAGTCATTGTTTTTGTAACACACTAGTCTGATAGCAATAAAACGACGGAGGGATAGAAAACATGGTTGGATTGGACGGCTTACCATTTAGGGTTTGGTCTCCAAATTGTGCGCGTGGTGAACAGCCCACTTGCAATTAAAGCGCATCCCCCCAGTATATTTATTGATATCAGTTATCAATGTATGTGGAATGCTAGAGATGTGTAAGGTAGCTCGAACACCGCCTGAGCTATTCCTTGAAAGGGCACCTTTCAAGTTTGAATGTTATGAACGCATCTATGAGGCGATGGAATTCAAGTGCGAAACATATGTATCCCAAAGAAAATCATACTGGATAGATCATGGACGACAAATTAAATAAATAAAAAAATAATAAATAAATAAACAGGCAGATAATAAGGATAAATGGATCCCTACGCATATACAATATCGTTGAACTGCCTTTTAAATGCATGTTGTCTGCTGTTCATCATTCCACAAAAATTGCTATACCTGAAGAACCACCTAGACTATCGGATGTCAACTATGGGTATGGGTGGGGCATGGGTCAAGAAATATAAAACACATATAAGCCGGGCGGAGCCTCGCCCGCAGTGGGCGGGGCACGTCCCAAATGAGCAGTGCCGAAGGAAAAAGTGTCGAGTTCGGGTAGTTCGGGTTCGGTAAACAGCTCGAAGATGGGAAAAAAGGGTAAAGGTATGTACTGAAGTGATAGGACGAATTTCCAAGAGACTCAGCCTGTGTGGCGGCCGTCCTCCAAAGTGTGCTCCCACCAAAAACTCAAAATAATGTATAATGGAGCTGTTGAGGAAGGAAAAAAGGCTAAGATGAGTTTATCGCCAGGTGTTTCCGGCCAGTACTCTTACGCTGGCCAGAGGCGCAGACCAGAGCGGAAGCGTGTCCTCACGCGTTGTGGCGATGATATTACACATCCTCCTACTCCGGTTCAGATAAGTCCATAAAAACGAGAAAAAAGAACGGAGTCTCAGAGGCAAGGAGCAAGCAGGTATATTTTGGGGTGGCGTGCGCAGCAGTAGGCGGAGCCTTGCCAGGAAACATGATAGTTTAGTTCCACCTAGGAACGGCTCAGCGGTTTAGAAAAAAGTGGATAAAATGTGTGAAGGAAGAAGGCTCAATGCTGGCTGCGTGGACCAAAGTGCACGCCAGTTGCCCCGAAAGCAACCAATAAATATCGACGACCCTGTTTCATACCATTGCAGCCCTTCCGATGTATGCGTGCATGCGGCCAAACTGGTGAATAAATAATCGAAATAATTACACAAATAAAAAGTAGGCAAATAATGAATAAACAAGTCATTGAATAAAAAACAAATAAACAATTGTTGCGACAAGAAACTACGGAGAAAAATTCGAACGAACCCGGCAGCGAGAACACCTCCTGTAACACCTTTGCTCGGTGTTTCGTAATACTCATTGATTAGGCAAAAATCTACGAATCACAGCCTATCTGAAAATGAATTTTTTTCAAAATAAATATTTGATTACAATGTTCAACAACGAGAAGTGAATTTCGAAGAGAACGTGATCCACAGCCCAGCTGGAAATGGAATGAAACAAATTCGATCATCGATTCTATGCGATTCGCATCGAAAATAATGACTCATATGTTTGGCAAAAATGCAGAACACACTGGTTTTTCACAGAAATTAAAAAAACATTTCTACGCAATCATTTTAACGCCTTTCAATATTAATCGATACCTATACACTACACATTCACCAGTGGCGTTTAATTATACATCAATCATTATTTTTGCTAAGAAATTAGATTTTTGACGTCATAGGCTTAGTTTAGAAGGGGTGATATCTACATATATCGCAGGCTACGGATACGCCATGCCGTTGAGAAGTTCTCTAGCCGCTGCAAACTTTCTAGAGGGGAAAGCACTACTATAATAGAAATCCCCAAGGCTGATGTCAGAGTTCGCGATCCTTCGTGCGATTCGCGGGAAGCGCGCGACGGATCATACGCTCGAAAACCAGCCCTACTACCAGTAAAGGTCAACAGGTTTTAATGGCCATTTACATGTGGTTGCATATACCCTCCAAATCTGTTTATCTGTTTCTGAACAGAGTTAGGCTGTGTCCGGGTCAGTCATTCGCGCGAATCGCGCGACGGATCGCGGACTCTGACACCAGTCTAACACAGTGTGCACCCTACCCAAAAGGGTTTTAGTGATCTCCTGATGACGTTTTATGCCCCTAATAACGCCCAGTGTGTAGAAGAATAGAGTAGTGAAGGGGGTGGGGCGGGGGGGGCGGTGAGGGTGTGAGGAAAGTGTTGAGAAAGTTCGGCAATCAGAGCAATCCCTTTCTTCCCCGATTGGAGTCTCACCTACGACCCTACCTACTCCGTAGTAAGCCCTGGCCTAGCCCCGCTCAAAACACTATCTTATATCCTTCTCAAAGAGGACCTTGAATTACCGTGGAACTGCCGAAAACTATCTTTAAAAACTTCTGGATCTCCCGAAAAAAAAACACTTGACCCTAATCAAGTCCGTTCTATAAATATTTAGAAAACCATTTGCTAATTCAATCGAATACGACTCCCACCTTCTCCAGGGCAAAATATGGCCCCGTTTTTGAAAACTGGATCACCTACATTAGATCGTACCGGCAGGAAGTTAGCTCAGCAGTCCGTCTAGCCAGAATGAAGAGTAGATGTGGTGTGTGAAGTGAGAGGGGTGGGGTGTTATATGGAAAAATGCAAACTAGGATCATTTTTCTGAAAGCATGGGAATGGAGGCCTCCATGCCCTCGCTCGACACATTCTTGGAGTTTTTAGGCATATTTTAAAGTGTGTGAGGTTTAGCATATTCGATTTCACTGCCGAAACAACCCAATCGTAGTGAGCAGGAGGAGGCGTATCTGTGGAACCGGCCACGCGCCATGACCGACCGTCACCGTCGAGGTAAATCGGGCTCTGCTCTCACAGAAATGAAAAATGGTCAATTTTTGACAGGCATGAAATAGGGAGGAGAGGTGTAAATTCGATCAAATTTTTAGGAAAAGAATGGTTCCAAAAAGCCATATCGACTCAAGGCTTGATGCATCCCAGGGTTTGTCTAATGTTCCCCAGCGAAAGGGTCGCGCTATTGAAACAAGCGTACAAAAAAGCAAGTAAATTTACTCAGATCCCAGTCAACTGGCTGTGGATGAGGCTACAATCGTACAGTACAAAGAGGAGACGTTATTGACACACGAACAGAACGCAAAGACTGTTGAAGTATTTCAGCCATGGGACATTGATTAGCTTGACGTGCACATAGCCAAACACATGAAAGCAAAACAGCTTCATGCATATGAATCTCTTCATCTTTAATGGCGCTGAAACACTTCAAAAGCACATCGTCTGGGCACCTTCGCCAAAAATCGAACTTTTGATTGCGAAATTGCTTCCCAGAAAGGAAGCTCAGGAACAGTTACAGTAAACCTTCTCTTACAGCTATAGTGTCTTTTTTCAGCCCTTTCGATGGTCTGCTGAGGGTGACTTTCAGGTAAAATCAATCAAAAATCAGATGAGGATTTTACCTGCAGAAATCCATTGCTGAGATCAATTCTAGGTTCCACAGGAAATTTACTACATAGAGCGATGACAAAAGGCTGCTGTCCATTTAAAGCACCTGCTCAATCTCCCTGT